GTGGGTCGGGTCGGGTCGGGAGCCGTTCCCCTGCCCCGGCCGCGTGTTCCGGCGGCGGAGGGAGCGGGATGGCGGGGGAAGGCCCGGGGGAGGGCAGAGCCCACCCGGCCTTGCCTCCCCGCGGGTGTTCGCGGGCCCCGCAGAGAGCCGCCACGGACGCCCGCGTACTGCAAACACTTGTGTGTCCGGAGGGGTGTGGGGGGAAACCCTGGCTAGGAAATGTTTTAAAGCCAGCCCCAAGGCCTTCTTGTAGCCTTGCTTTAGCTGGCTGGCTAATCTCATTTCAGATATATGGGCTGGCAGAAACAGGCTTATTTAAAGGATTAAATGCAGGAAAGCTTCCTTTGATGTGCGTATGCTTGTACCAGAGCAGCCAGGTAGTTTTTAATGCAAATATACAGCCATACCCATGTACAAATCTTGTAAATTCTGTAATACAGGTAAAAATGAAGCAAGACACTAGCTCTGACTACTTTTACAATATTTCTGGTGAGCACGCAGGGTGTTTCTAAAAGTCAAGTGGATTGTGAAATCTGCCCCAGCTTTCTAATTGCCCTAAACAAAAGAGCCTGTATTTAAATATTGCTGAAGTTCTAGATCCACAGTATCAGTTTACATATCATTTATCTATAATGTGTCTTTGTAACCTTTGGCCTCAAGGTAATGTAAGTTGGTAACTACTGGCCTCAAGAAATATGACAGTATCTTTCTGAAGAAGGAAAGGGCAAAAATGCTCCTTTTAAACATGGGAAATTGAGGCACTGCATCTTACCAATGCAATAGCAAAATAAAGGAGAGCGATGCATCTCCAAGGTGATCTAGAAGAACCTACAGCAATCAAGATCCCCCTTGTTCCCTACACGCACACATTTCACTCCCCACGGCTTAAGAACCTCTCGCTACAGACCTGGTCCTTCAGCAAATATAAGATATCCCAGGTGCCAATGCAAAGCTCATTCAAGGTGAATGCTATTCACTAATGCAAAGCCTGAGCAAATCATGCACACAGCTAAATATTATCACCTAGGAGCCTGAAGACTACTGCCCTGTAAGATATTCCTACCCGCACACAGCACGCACACCTCTGCCAGTCCATGCGGGCTGACTCTCCATCCCGTCACACTCTAAATGATCAGGAACTCCACTGAAAACAGGGTTAATAAGGGTGTCTGAAACCCCAGGCAGAAGAACCAGTATTTCCTTGTCCAGCATTTTATGTTAGGCAACTCCTGGCACTTGGTATCTTTTTATTTATTCTATCAAGTTTTGCCAATAATACAAGCCAGGAACCTGTCTTCGTTAGTCTACTGGCTCGTGGCCATTCCATCTATGTGGGGCTGGAACTCATGGTAACCCAAGACGACAGCGTGGGCTGCGCTGGACTTGGCACTGCAGGAGTACAGTACGTGGCCTCACGTTACACCGCTCTCCAAACTCCTCTCCCCGTGTGTGCATGGCACTTTAGCTGTGCATCCTTCTGCCAAATTTGTTCAGGGTGTTATTTTTATGCACTAAATTCCTCGCAATCAGAGGTAGGTCAAATAAGCACAGCAATCTGAACGTCATGTGCCCAGCAGCCGATTAATCCTCACATCAGCAAGCTCTACAGCTGTCACAACATCCAGAGAAAGAGCTGGTCGGAGGCTGTGATGCACAAGGAATCAGCCAAGGAGGAAGCCTACACCAGCAGCCGCCAAGGCCAGACAAAGGTAAAGCACCTCACTGCTCAGCATGGAAGCTAGATGCCTTTGTTGCCAGTCCCTGTATTATTTAAACGCTCTGCGTTCACAACAGCGGCCAAATTTTCGCAACAGTGAAGTGGTTGGACTGTTTAATGTGCTTAGCTTTGTTCTCAATGGGGGCTGACGATTGCCAAGTGTTTTGGAAAGAACTTAGCCCCTCTATTTAAGTTGCTGAAATGAGAACTCTTGAGCATTAAGCTCTTTGGGAAATCCAGCTGCAGAACTCCACGGTGGTGGTGGATGCAAGCTGGGAACAATGGTTAATGGAAACTTCCCCTCATGCCACCCCAGTGATGTGTCTCAACCATGGCCTGGAGAGACCACAACTATGTCAACACCAGCCTTTTGTCTGGAGACTTTCCCACTCGCAGAGCTCCACTCAAGCGACACGGATATATGCCAGGACAGACACAGCTCCAGGTGTCCCCTGGCAAAGGAATCGGGCTATGGCTGCCCCAACATCTTGCCTTCACTAATGTTCTTGGTGTTGCTCTGGCAGATATTAGCAACAGCAGAAAATTTTCCAGAAAGAAGGATTTGAAAGAAAGTTGGCCAAACCCTTTCAGTCCTCCTCCTCCTCCCAGCAGAGACTGCCAGTGAGGAAGTCCAACATAATGGCAATATTTCCAGTGTGCTTCCTTGTTCAAAGTGAAACGGACTGAGGCCATTCACTTGTGTCATCTAGGTCACCAAACGGCTGGTAAAAAAAATAGCAGCTTTAATTGCTTGCAATAATTAAAATTCACATTTCAAAAGTACAGTAGCATTTTTATACTCTTATAAAAGCAAAATGCTGATCTGCTATCGTGGGGAGCTCAATCACTGTATCCTGACTCCTAATTTCTCCCTTTTGAAACATCCCACCTACCAGCTGTGCCCGGGAGAGTTAAGACGGAAATAACCTCTTCAACTGCACCACTGCTTGACAGACTTCTTATTTGTATTGCAAGAGAACCCCGGTGAATTATGTGGAACTCAATTCTGAATCATTCAACTCCATAGAAATGTGCCTGATTTTCAGAAAATCTCCCTTCTTGAAGCCCTTCCACACTTTTCATCAGCTCAACAGCTGGCTGGAGAAGAGCAATGAGAAAAAAGAGAGTGGAAATATTCTAATCAAAATATTTTCCCCTATTTTTTACAGATATGTTGGAGGGAAAGAGGAGTTTCCCCTTTAATATATTAACAGCCCAGAGATAATATATATATGTATTTGCTAATAATTTTTCCTTATATAAACTAAAGGAACTTTGGGTATGTCAGTCAGACTATATAGTAGGGCAGTTAAATTGACAGATAATCCTCACCCAGAGCTGCTCCAGAGAACCCCGCTGCTCAGCCAATATGTTTTCCAAATCGTCTATCCGACTGGCAGCTCGCCAGCTATTTGGGATAGTTCTTACTCCAAATCACAGCCTGTCCCAGACTAATCTGTCATCTATTTTGGCATTAACCCCTTCCGCCTCTAGGAAAAATCTCAGTGCAGAAGACAAGGCAGTGTGCAGGAATTGAGACAGGCAAAAATCCCCACAGGCAGTAAAGTAAAAGGAGTATTTTGGAGGTCAAGATTTATCTAAGGACAGTATCATGTCAGACTATAATTCCTCACTTACAATATTACAAGCATCATAATTTCCCT